TGGGGTGGAAGTCTTTTGGGGATGTCCCTAGAGGTTTCTGAATTGAAAGAAAAACTACCTCAAGCCAGTCCTCAGGGACTGACGATGACTCCCAGATACGGTTATACAGATTCAGTAAATATTGAAACACGCATGGAGGGAGATGACGAAGCATCTCATAATGAATGTCATCTGAGCCCTCTGTTGAAGAACCGCAGAGGACCAGGGCAGACTGAAATTCGGAGAGAGAGAAGGGATCGTTACAGGGAAGCCAGAGATAAGTGCAAAAATCTAAGGGATGAGATTCAAGAATGGGCTTAAGAATAAGGAAAATGGAGGAAGATAAGAACCGGAGCTGACAGTCGAAACGTGGGAACCCAGTTCGGTTGTGACCCACAATAGTACCACGGAGGTGAAGGACTGGCGAGACATCTGGAACAAACTTACTCACTATCTTGCAGATTTTCTTTCAGATCTGTGGCAGAGGAGAATCGTATGTAATCGTAGAGACATGAGATTTCCAACTCTCACATTTAGCTGTACGAATGGTCCTATGGGCCACCGCACTCGTCTTCCGAGACAAAATATAGGAATCACCCACTTGCCAGAGTTGGTGTTTCTTCCAGGCTGCACGCTTACAGCGGACAGCCCGAGCACAGTCTGCATTCCACCAGGGAACGCACGTCCACATGCTCCGTGAGGTAGAGCAAGGAATAGAGTGGAGGGGCAGCATCTAATAAAGTGTCATGAAAAATGAGGAGGTCTCGAGGGAGATGTAGAGTGGAGAGGTCGGAAAAAGTAGCATGGAGGTTGAATAGGTTCCAGTCAGCTGTGGCAAACTGCCACCTAAAGAAGGAGAGGGGAGGGTGAAAATAGAAAAAGGTGACAAGGATGGGGAAATGGTTACTGTTATGGAGGTCATCAATAACCCGCCACGTGAAATCTAAGTAGAGGGACGACGAGCAGAGAGAAAGATCAAGATAGGAAAGGGTGCGAGTTCGAGATTCCACATGAGTGGGCTCACCAGAATTCAGAAGAGATAGAGAAGAAGCGAGGACGAATGGTTCGAGAAGACGGCCTCGGGTGTTTGTCAGAACATCACCCCAGAGGGAATGTCGACAGTTGAAATCACCCAAAAGGAGCACCGGCTCTGGCAAGGAGTCCAGGAGGTGTTTAAGGTCAGAAAGGGAAATCAGGACATTTGGGGAGGGGGAGATAAATGGAACAGACTGTATACCATTTACTCACAAAGATACGGGCCGCAGAACATTGGAGAGGCGATGAAAAAGTAGGGGGACGAAGGGAATATCAGTACAAATCAAGAAAGCAGTAGAGTTATGGGCCCCAGCCAAAGCTGGGGGGTGGGGGAGAGAAAGGTATAACCACACAAGTGACCAGGACAAGCGCCAATCATCGGGCTCCTGGAGACATTCACAAAGTAGTGAAAACTGTGTTATCAGAAGCTGCTGTTCATGGAAGTTGACATAAAATCCACAAACAGTCCATTGAAGAATAGACATTGTAAAAATAGATTGAACAGATACAGAGAACAAGACAGAAACAAAGGCAAAGAAGAACACAGTATATTAGGTAGGATCAGGGTTAGGGGGCATAGGTAAATCTAGCAAGGACGACGGAGTCAAGGGAGTAGGAGGATGAACCAGAGGCAGACGGATGAAGTCTGGAGTGTGAGGGGAGGGGGCATTGGAGAGGGGCTGTCAAGGGAATCAGAGGAAGGGGGGGGGGCAGAAACAGGGAAGTGCACTTCATCAAGGGCAGCAACCAAGAGAGAATCGAGGACCAGGGGAACCTCCATAGTTGGGACAGGGGGCTCGTCCACCGAAATGGGAGGGGGATGCAGGGATAAGATCGGAGTCGGAAGGCGGGGAAGAAACTAATGCCATCTTACCTGCTGGGGAGAAGGAAGGAGAGGAGCCAGGCTTACGTTTCTGACTTAAAGAGACAGGTGTTCCAGCAACAACGTACCGGGTCTCAACAGGAGAAGAAGAACAGGAGCAATCAACATGAAGATTGCTGGGAGGATGTTGGACAACAGCCTGGATAGACAGGCAGCATGGAGGGCCAAAAGACAGAGGGGAGGGCTGGGAAGAAGGATTGGGGGAAGAAGGGAAAGAGGACATAGCGGACAGGGCAGACTGGGAAGGAAGGAAGGAAACACCAGACGGAGAACTGGTGTTTCTGTTTTTTTTGGTTCTGAAGAAGACCTTCTGGTTCAGAATGTAAAGGAGCAGGCGAGGTGGTGGTGGTGGGTGTGTCTGGGTCCAGGGCCTGGAAACAGTTGTGAGACAGAGAAAGGAGAGGAGGGCGAGGAGAGTGTTGCATAGAACGCAACACACGAGCATAAGTCATGTTAGTGAAAGAGAGGAGACAGCGGACTTGGCGTATCACCTCAGGAAAAGATGAACGATCACGGTGCTTCAAATTAAGGATGGTTTCCTCAAATTTGTAGTGCACACATATGAGGGAGAAGGTAGGATGGGCATCACCACAATTGATGCAGTGAGGCTGGGAAGAAAAGCACTCCGTCTTAGAGTGACCCGAGTCCCCACTCAAGGGGCATAGAGACACTTTACTTGTGCATTTGAGGGCACCATGCCCAAATTTCCAACATCCATTGCAAAGTCTAGGAGAGTGAATGTACTCCTGAATGGAGCATTGGGCACTAGCAAGAATTATAGAAGGCGGAAGGATCCTACTATCAAAAGTGATCTTCACAACTCGAAAAGGCTGACAGCGACGACCACGAGGGGGTCAAGTGAACGTGTCCACCTGGAGGACAGAGTGGCCTTGGGCTTCAAGGATATGTTTAATATTTTGGCCAGACCACACACTAGAAAGTGAAGGGACGACGACGTTTCAGTCCATCCTGGATCATTCTCAAGTCGACTGTGAATGATTCATCATTCTCAATCGACTTGAGAATGGTCCAGGACGGACCGAAACGTCGTCGTCCCTTCACTTTCTAGTGTGTAGTCTGGTCAGCATACTTCAGCCAATATGCATCGCCTGCATATGTTTAATATCTTCGTGGCAGTCGTTCAGGTCCCTAACACCAGTCACAACATGGTGCGGGAGGATAACAGTGGCATTTAACCGGGCATTTTTGGAGATCCTAACAGGGGTCTCCCCAATGCTGCACAATGTGGGTAAGCAGGCAGCTGCTTCCTGAGAAAGAGCAACGACACATATACCAGTACGAGTGGGGTCAAAAGTAATAGAGGTATCCACCGAATCAACGAGGTGTTTATAGAGGAAGAAATTGCCAGGCCATGTAGAACCAAGATGGTTGAGATCAAAGTATTTAGTCCACGTAGCAGGACCAAACAAGGTGTGGAACGTATTAGCACTGGAAGAAATTGTGCGAGTGCATCTGTGGTGGGGTCAGTGCCGAGCAGCCCCGGTAAGAGGTACGTTGTCACATTGAGAGAAGGAGCCACTCCAGGTGATGAGGTGGTCATCACTGGGGGCTTGGGGCTCAACCCTACTATAGAGGAGGGAGGGGGGGTAGTCGGCAGGGTCAGAGGAGTAGCTTGGTCTGGGCCCAATGTAGTGGGGGGGGGGGGGTACAAAGCCCGGTCTTCCAACACAGTCTGACTTGGGGCTTGGTCGCCAACCCCACGAGTCTGGGAAGTTATAAAAGGATCATTTTGTGGAATAAAAATGAGCAGGTAATAATTTCATTCACAAATAAGCCCCCCATACCAACCATAGAGCCACAAATAGATAGGACACCTGACAAGATGGGCTCCCCCCCCCCAGGGGTATATCATGAGTATACGTCCCCACAATCCGCCACCTTAATTGCTTGTCAGTCCGTCAAGATCGGTTTCAGCCATGAAGGAGAAGATTGACAATAAAAGCGTCCCTCGCTCGAAACGCTAGGTACTACAGTTCTACGGGTGAGAGAGTGTGCTTCCCTAAACACCCGACATCGAAACAGAAGATGTCCGAAAGAATAATTAAGAATGGTAAAAGGTCGGGGGGTGGGGGGGTAATGACAATTAGAAAGAAGATGAGGGGGGAGAGGAAAAACGAAACATGCTGAACAGAGAAAAAACTATCCAGCATAATTTGTGAAGACAGCAGCAGGAGCATAAGGCTGCAAAAGGACAGAGGATTGTCCCATGGAGCATCACACCCCCACAGCTACCCACCAAGCCCACCTCATGACGACAAAGGACTAAAAAGGGAGGGGGAATTGTGAATGTAGTTTGCTTCAACAACCTGCTCCCTTACCTCATTTCATTTCCCCACTAATCTTATGCTTCAAGAAAACATTTTAACATCTCTATGACTCGTGTAAACCTCAAGCTTCCATCCACATCCCCTTGTTCTATTGATATTTATTGTGAACATCTCTTTCCACTTTATCTATCACCCTAAGTATTTTATACGTCTCTATCAAGTGTCCTCTCTACCATTGTCAGGTTTAGTTCCTTCAGTCACTATTTATACCTCACCCCTCGCAGCTCTGGGACGAGTCTCCTTGCAAACTTCTGCACCTTTATGAGCTTCCTTATGTTTTTTTTTTAGATGGGGTGCGTGTACATGCATGTTTTTGCGTATCAGTAAGTGTGTACGCGTGTCGGCATATGCGTGCGTGTGAGTGTGTGTATGTATGCTTGCATGTGAGTGTGTATGCATGTGTGAGTGTGTACGCGTGCATGAGTGTGAACGCATGCATGTGAATGTATACGCGTGCATGCGAGTGTGTACGCATGCATGTGTGAGTGTGTATACATGCGTGCGAGTGTATATGCATGCTTGCATGTGAGTGTGTACGTGTGCGTGCATGCGAGTGTGTATGCATGCTTGCATGTGAGTGTGTACGTGTGCGTGCATGCGAGTGTGTACGCATGCATGTGTGAGTGTGTATGCGTGCGTGCGAGTGTATATGCATGCTTGCATGTGAGTGTGTACACATATGTGAGTGTGTACGTGTGCGTGCATGCGAGTGTGCACCATGCGTGCATGTGTATGGGAGGATGAAGGCGCCTCACCTCAATAAAGAGCTCTGGGCCGGTGTTGTCATCGTTGACCCTGTAGTAGATGGGGCCGTCAACACCGCGCTCCTCCGCCTCCCGACCCAGGCTGACCTCGTCTTGACCCTGGCACTCTCCGTACCGCATTCTCACGCCAGGGTCATCGAGGGAGGTCACGGCCAGTCCTCTCACACCCGGTCACCTCCGCTCCATTACCTCAGTGGGAGGTCAGGTCACAGGCCACTTCACGGTATCTAGTTCAGTACCTGGACTCACTCGGAGGTCAGGTCAAAGGTCACTAACACACTCAATCCAGAGCTCTACGGGTTGTAGGCGTCCCTGACCTCATTCTAAGAGAGGGAGGACAGAGTAGGGCACTATAGAGCATGTACTCTATATGACCTCAGTCATTCACAATCAGACACAAATTTCTCACTTATAACTCCATTCACCTGGGCTCTGGGAGACTCGAACTACAGACCCCAGACGTGTGAGGCCAAGCTCTATGGACCTCTTGCATTCTCTCCTACACCAGCCGCGTCTCACCATTCACCACTACGTAACAAATGCAACTGTTTTTCCTGACCAGTAACGTATACAAACCCACGGAGCAACCCAATCGAGGCCGCTGCGCCCGTCCCGTTCGGACCGGATTGGCGGATTCCGTAACTAAAAACCCGCCAATTTTAGCGGATTGGTCGATTTTGTTAAAAATGCAACTTTTTTTAATAATAAAAATTATTATTATTATCATTATTTTATTATTATTATTATTATTATTATTAATATTGTTATTATTATTATTGGATGTAATATTACCATCAGTATTTATTTTCTTAGGTTAGGTTAGATGATAAGGTCTAAGGCTTATCACTGGCACCAACATTACAGATAACTGGCAGCCGTTTAACCGGACATTATATACAAAAATATCACCAAAACAAATAACGTTTTATCCGGATTACAGTATGGAAGTTTACAGTAAACTACGGATCACTGTTGCCCGTGACTACCTATTAATTAACCACACTGGTGGTGAGGACGGCCGGCTCCCCATTACGTTAAAAATGCGACCTATTAGTAAAACTTAAAGCCTCGTAAAATTGACGTTATGAGTTCGTATGTTTCTGGCGAGGCGACCGTTCATGTTGTTGATGGGGGTTGTAATATTACTTACCAGTCACAACCCTCTATACCAGTCACAACCCTCTATACCAGTCACAACCCTTTATACCAGTCACAACCCTCTATACCAGTCACAACCCTCTATACCAGTCACAACCCTTTACACCAGTCACAACCCTTTATACCAGTCACAACCCTTTATACCAGTCACAACCCTTTACACCAGTCACAACCCTTTATACCAGTCACAACCCTTTATACCAGTCACAACCCTTTATACCAGTCACAACCCCTTATACCAGTCACAACCCTTTACACCATTCACAACCCTTTATACCAGTCACAACCCTTTACACCAGTCACAACCCTTTATACCAGTCACAACCCTTTATACCAGTCACAACCCTTTACACCAGTCACAACCCTTTATACCAGTCACAACCCTTTATACCAGTCACAACCCTTTATACCAGTCACAACCCCTTATACCAGTCACAACCCTTTACACCATTCACAACCCTTTATACCAGTCACAACCCTTTACACCAGTCACAACCCTTTATACCAGTCACAACCCTTTATACCAGTTACAACCCTTTATACCAGTCACACCCTTTATACCAGTCACAACCCTTTATACCAGTCACAACCCTTTATACCAGTCACAACCCTTTATACCAGTCACAACCCTTTATACCAGTCACAACCCTTTATACCAGTCACAACCCTTTATACCAGTCACAACCCTTTATACCAGTCACAACCCTTTATACCAGTCACAAAACCCTTTATACCAGTCACAACCCTTTACACCAGTCACAACCCTTTATACCAGTCACAAAACCCTTTATACCAGTCACAACCCTTTACACCATTCACAACCCTTTACACCATTCACAACCCTTTATACCAGTCACAACCCTTTACACCATTCACAACCCTTTATACCAGTCACAACCCTTTACACCATTCACAACCCTTTATACCAGTCACAAAACCCTTTATACCAGTCACAACCCTTTACACCAGTCACAAAACCCTTTATACCAGTCACAACCCTTTACACCATTCACAACCACTACACCATTCACAACCCTCTACGCCATTCACAACCCTCTACACCATTCACAACCCCTACACCATTCACAACCCTCTACGCCATTCACAACCCTCTACACCATTCACAACCCCTACACCAGTCACAATCATTTACACCAGTCACAACCCTCTACACCAGTCACAACCTCTACACCAGTCACAACCCTCTACACCAGTCACAACCCCTTTACACCAGTCACAACCCCGACACAACCCATAAGCCTTCACCCCTTTCAAGTGCTATATAGTAGAAATGGCTTGGCGCTTTCTCTTGATATTTCCCATCCCTTCCATAACCATTTACTCAGTTCACAACCTGCACACCACTCACAACCCTTACACAATTCAATACCAATACGCAATTCATAACCACTGCACATTTCACAACACTTTACACAAATCCACAACCTTTACACAACTCACAACCCTTTACGAAGTTCACAACCTTTTACACAACCCTTTACCTAATTTACAACCCTTTACACAAATCACAACCTTCACACAATTCGCTGTTTGTGAGGCAGGGGATACGACGCCCTTGATATGGTGGGCGTGCAAGGAGGTTGTCCTCCCGAGTGGTGGGCGGCGTGGGCGGCGGGCACGCCCCCATGGTGCCCCTGGGGGGCCAGACCTTCAGGAGGAGGTGTGAGGGGGAAAATTGAGGGCGGCCGGTGGCGTCAGCGCGGCGGCCAGGAGCACAGAAGACACGTCCGCCTCC